GGACCAAGGAAACACTTTATCCCACATCACTGTCATGGTGGTGCATAATTAACTAGAGAAAAAACCCAGGCAAAGTCACTTACTGTGAATTAATTTTTTTCATAGTTTCTGGAAAAATATAAATTTTGATAGTACTTAAATTTTATACTGGAGAGAATATACTAATGCTTCCAAAATAAGAATTGTTGTTCTTGTAAGACTGTAATCTTTAAATCGGTGGTTTGTAATAACCATAAAATACTGAAAACTGATATTCCATGAAAAAAATGTTGACTTCACACCAGTAAAATCTAGAAATTACCTAATAAGTGATTCCAGTACTTCAGTTGTGGCCCCTCGGTGGAATTCCTCTTCTATGTAATGCAGAGCTTTAGCATAGGCTCGACATCTCATGGCTCTCTGACCCAACAGGGAGGTGTCTAGGGGGAGAGGCCCCTGAAATATCAACAACTGACTGTATACATATCAGGGCAATCATAAGAAACAACACTTGATGGCCACTTAGATTAAGTAGATGGACAAAGGTCACTCACACTCACAGCTGTTTCAAGTGAATCATTACCATAAAGATACCTGCTTACACAAACATAACTGTTTGCAAACCTATGAATAATATTGGCAATCTACACAGGCAAGCAATCAGTCATATATTCAGTCTGTGAGGCAAGCAATCAGTTATATAAGCAGTATGTGATGGCAATCAGTAATGTTAGCAGTCTGTGCTGGAAAGCCTGTCAATAATGATGACAGTCTATGATTGCAAGCCTGTCATTATTGAAAGCTGCCTGTGCTGGCAATCCTGTTGGTAATGTTACCATTCTGTGCTGGCAATCAATCAATAATGTTAACAGTCAGGCAAGCCTGGCAAGAATGTTACCAGCTCATGCTAGCAAACCTGTAAATAATGTAATCCATCTGTGCTGGAAAGCAAAACCAGCTTGTATTATTTGCTCATCAGTAAAATTTGCAGATTTTAACCTCAGTTTTTAACTTCTACATACATTCATAGGGAGTGATTATATCATGGTGACTAGCAATAATTACCAGTGTCGACATACTCATGGCTATCACAGTGCCAAAGAAACTCATAGCAATCAGTGCCAGACAAACTCATGGAGATCACAGTAATAGACAAACTCATGGCAATCACAGTGCCAAACTCATGGTCATACAATGCCAGACAAACTCATGGCCATCAGTGCCAGACAAACTCATGGCCATCACAGTGCCAGACAAACTCATGGCAATCACAGTGCCAGGCAATCTCATGGCAATCACAGTGCCAGGCAATCTCATGGCAATCACAGTGCCAGGCAATCTCATGGCAATCACAGTGCCAGACAAACTCATGGCAATCACAGTGCCAGACAAACTCATGGCAATCACAGTGCCACACTCATGGCCATCACAGTGCCAGACAAACTCATGGCAATCACAGTGCCAGACAAACTCATGGCAATCACAGTGCCAGACAAACTCATGGCAATCACAGTGCCAGGCAATCTCATGGCAATCACAGTGCCAGGCAATCTCATGGCAATCACAGTGCCAGACAAACTCATGGCAATCACAGTGCCAGACAAAGTCATGGCAATCACAGTGCCACACTCATGGCCATCACAGTGCCAGACAAACTCATGGCAATCACAGTGCCAGGCAATCTCATGGCAATCACAGTGCCAGGCAATCTCATGGCAATCACAGTGCCAGACAAACTCATTGCAATCACAGTGCCACACTCATGGCCATCACAGTGCCAGACAAACTCATGGCAATCACAGTGCCAGACAAACTCATGGCAATCACAGTGCCACACTCATGGCCATCACAGTGCCAGACAAACTCATGGCAATCACAGTGCCAGGCAATCTCATGGCAATCACAGTGCCAGGCAATCTCATGGCAATCACAGTGCCAGACAAACTCATGGCAATCACAGTGCCACACTCATGGCCATCACAATGCCAGACAAACTCATGGCAATCACAGTGCCACACTCATGGCCATCACAGTGCCAGACAAACTCATGGCCATCACAGTGCCAGACAAACTCATGGCCATCACAATGCCAGACAAACTCATGGCCATCACAGTGCCAGACAAACTCATGACAATCACAGAGCCAGGCAATCTCATGGCAATCACAATGCCAAACTCATCACCATAACAGTGCCAAACAAACTCATGGCAATCACAGTGCCAGACAAACTCATGGCCATCACAGTGCCAAGACAAACTCATGGCAATCACAGTGCCACACTCATGGCCATCACAGTGCCAGACAAACTCATGGCAATCACAGTGCCACACTCATGGCCATCACAGTGCCAGACAAACTCATGGCAATCACTGTGCCAGGCAATCTCATGGCAATCACAGTGCCAGGCAATCTCATGGCAATCACAGTGCCAAACAAACTCTTGGCAATCACAATGCCAGACAAACTCATGGCCATCACAGTGCCAGACAAACTTATGGCCATCACAATGCCACACTCATGGCAATCACAATGCCAGACAAACTCATGGCAATCACAATGCCAGACAAACTCATGGCAATCACAGTGCCACACTCATGACCATCATAGTGCCAGACAAACTCTTAACCATCACAATGCCAGACAAACTCATGGCCATCACAGTGCCAAACTCATGCCCATCACAATGCCACACTCATGGCCATCACAGTGCCAAGACAAACTCATGGCCATCACAATGCCAGACAAACTCATGGCAATCACAGTGCAAGGCAATCTCATGGCCATCACAATGCTAGACAAACTCATGGCAATCACAGTGCCAGACAAACTCATGGTCATACAATGCCAGACAAACTCATGGCCATCACAGTGCCAGACAAACTCATGGCCATCACAGTGCCAAACTCATGGCCATCACAATGCCAGACAAACTCATGGCCATCACAGTGCCAAGACAAACTCATGGCAGTCACAGTGCCAGGCAATCTCATGGCAATCACAGTGCCAGGCAATCTCATGGCAATCACAATGCCAAACAAACTCATGGCAATCACAATGCCAGACAAACTCATGGCCATCACAGTGCCAGACAAACTCATGGCAATCACAGTGTCACACTCATGGCCATCACAGTGCCAAACAAACTCATGGCCATCACAGTGCCAGACAAACTCTTAACCATCACAATGCCAGACAAACTCATGCCCATCACAATGCCACACCCATGGCCATCACAGTGCCAAGACAAACTCATGGCCATCACAATGCCAGACAAACTCATGGCAATCACAATGCAAGGCAATCTCATGGCCATCACAATGCTAGACAAACTCATGGCAATCACAGTGCCAGACAAACTCATGGTCATACAATGCCAGACAAACTCATGGCCATCACAGTGCCAGACAAACTCATGGCCATCACAGTGCCAAACTCATGGCCATCACAATGCCAGACAAACTCATGGCCATCACAGTGCCAAGACAAACTCATGGCAGTCACAGTGCCAGGCAATCTCATGGCAATCACAGTGCCAGGCAATCTCATGGCAATCACAATGCCAAACAAACTCATGGCAATCACAATGCCAGACAAACTCATGGCCATCACAGTGCCAAACTCATGGCAATCACAGTGCCACACTCATGGCCATCACAGTGCCAAACAAACTCATGGCCATCACAGTGCCAGACAAACTCTTAACCATCACAATGCCAGACAAACTCATGGCCATCACAGTGCCAGACAAACTCATGGTCATCACAATGCCACACTTATGGCCATCACAGTGCCAAGACAAACTCATGGCCATCACAATGCTAGACAAACTCATGGCAATCACAGTGCCAGACAAACTCATGGTCATACAATGCCAGACAAACTCATGGCCATCACAGTGCCAGACAAACTTATGGCCATCACAGTGCCAGACAAACACATGGCCATCACAATGCCAGACAAACTCATGGCAATCACAATGCCAGACAAACTCATGGCCATCACAGTGCCAGACAAAGTCATGGCCATCACAGTGCCAGACAAACTCATGGCAATCACAGTGCCACACTCATGGCCATCACAGTGCCAGACAAACTCATGGCCATCACAGTGCCAGACAAACTCATGGCAATCACAGTGCCACACTCATGGCCATCATAGTGCCAGACAAACTCATGACCATCACAGTGCCAGACAAACTCTTAACCATCACAATGCCAGACAAACTCATGGCCATCACAGTGCCAGACAAACTCATGCCCATCACAATGCCACACTCATGGCCATCACAGTGCCAAGACAAACTCATGGTCATACAATGCCAGACAAACTCATGGCCATCACAGTGCCAGACAAACTTATGGCCATCACAGTGCCAGACAAACTCATGACCATCACAATGCCAGACAAGCTCATGGCCATCACAATGCCAGACAAACTCATGGCCATCACAGTGCCAGACAAACTCATGGCAATCACAATGCCAGACATCACACTGCTCTATATAGTTTAGCTGTGTAAAACTTTATCATATTACATTCATGTAACACATGTCACAATCTAAATAACTTTGTCACATTTGTTTCTATGATATCAAAATGTAACATTGATAGTTAAGATGCCTTATGACCTATTCTGTGTTCAGCAGTGACACATTTTATTTTATAATATTCTGTGAATCTGTGGATTTTTCATAAGAAATTATTTTGATATTTTACTAGAATGAATTATCAAAATTATTTTTTTCAGTGTCATCAACAGGCATCCATAACATTATCACCAAGAAATAGATCTGCTACATTGTTACTTACTTGACAGTGATCAACAATAATACCTGTCATACATAAGGTTCAAATACCAAAATGTGCAAAGCTTTTTTTCAATTTGCTTATATGCTTTTTTACTTTAATTTAAAAAAAACAGAATTATGTTATCAGTGGCATTGTCTGTGTCTGTATATACAAAATACTGCACACTATAAATGACACTAGGTGGACCAGTCCTAACACTAACCTCTTAATGGTGAACTGGCCAGGGTTCAAACCCATGGTCTTCTGCATCTGAGTCATACACTCTAACCACTTAAGCCACCAAAGCGGTATATCATGTGCTGAAAAATGGTGTTAAAGCCAAAATATAACAATAACAACGATATTAAAAACTGTAGATCAATTATGATAGTAAGCACCCTTATTGGTTTCCTTTGGAATTTTTTTTTACCATATTTACTTGTTTATAAATTAAGTCCAACTGCAAATTGCACATACCTACAACTGCTACTGCAAAACACACCTTCACATTTAAGTTTATGCAGTTGGTTATTAGTAATCAGTAGAACAAACAAAGCAGACCCTGATCTGCCAGCACATTATGGAATGGCAGATCAAGGGCTGTGTTCTTTGCATTCAATTCATAAGTGTATACATATAGTATTCCACCTCAAAGATGATCTACTGCTTCAAGACAAGACACTGACTCTTAAGGAGAAATTTTGCTATAAAAAGTCACCATACCTTGTCACAGTGCTCCATGAACTCGGCTAAGTTTAGCAGTGTTTGAGTTATCTCTGGAAGTTCCTGGGATGTCAGGGCCTGCTCCAGGCTGCTGATCAGCTCATCCTGTTGAGTCTCTGTCAACTCTGTCCAGCAGGAGACAAAGGCTGCATTGAACAGGTCCCTGAAATCATGTTACCAACAAAATGAACAAAAGAAGATTTTTTTTTATGTTGCCTGGTGCTTCTTAAACCTCTTTTAATGAAATTTTATGGACATATAATTTCAACTGTTGTTGCTTGGGAACTAATTTGTATCAATGCTGGGCAAAAACTGTGCCCCTCTTCCAATCATTGGAAATACTGAAGGGACTCTGATCCAGTCAGGCTCAATCTTGATGGCAGATAGGGGGAGGTGGTGGTGTTGCTTGAGAGTGGGTATTTGAAAATAGCTGAATTTGAAGTCTTCTTGGTCAGGTACAGAGACAGATTGGAAATAAGGTACAGAGACCAACTGGTAGACTGCATGGCATTGCCAGTAAATTTACTGAGAAGAACAAAATGAATTCTTTCAATATTTTTATTAGGTTAGTAAGACATGCAAGTAGGTAGAATACCTTGTCAGCTATATATGTATAATCTAGTCTAACATGATCTAGGGCAGGGAAAAGGGCTCTAACAGCAGTTCTATTTGAAGTCCCCACAATCAGACAGACAAGAAGGTAGCATATCATCGTACTGGACTGTATGTCTGTGCAAGGACTGTGTATAATGTAAGGACTGGTGACCTGGACTCTTTCGACAGCATAATATACAATCCTCTCAGATGGACTGAAAGACAGACAAGGTAGCGTTTCCTGCTGCTTGACTGTATGTCAGAGCCAGATCCCTGTATGATTTATGAACTCATGACCTAAGGGACTCTTTCAAAATCTTAATACACAATCCACTCAGATATGCAGAAAGACAGACATATAAGACAGCATACCTTGCTAGTGGGTTATATGTCTGGGCCAGTGCCCAGCATGACCTAAGGGCAGGAGAGGGGGACTCCTTCAGCAGCTCAATGCTCAGTCTCCTTAGCCATTCCATCCAGTCTTCCTTAGATTCCCTCCTGCCAACACCCAAAGCCTAAAAATGTAAATTTTTAATAATTTATATTGTGCTTCCTATGAATCTTCAACTGAGCATTCAAACTGTTTTGCTTGTGAAAATACAATGTATGATGCTTTGGGTAAATACAGCAGTGTATGTTAACATGCACCAATACACTGTGCAGGGTATTGCAGTGTGTATGTACACAATACAGTAAATGTTGCTCTTGTTTTGCTGTGTGCAAAAACAATGAACAGTGTATGTTACTCTTACAGTTATCAGATATATTGTAAATTTTATTATGTTTGCTGTAACTTGATGCTGATATTCATTCTGGAATAGTGATTTCAAAATTGTGAAGATGGCCACTGTGTTGGCGATATTGATTGTCTGAGCATTTCATTTAGGACCCTAAGACACCATAAGAAGTCATTTAGGAAGGACATCATGCTCATATGACCATCCATTCAGGAAGAGAAGCAAATCAAGCTGGTCATTGTGGCAGCCATACTGAACCTGTATTGAGGACCAACTAGACATCATACAAAAATCCAATGTTGATAGGAACATCTATTCAGAAATCGTAGTGATAAGATTTTCAAAATGGCTTCTATAGTGGCCATATTGGACATGTGATCAACATTTTTTTCATTTAGGACTGAGCAGACATCACACACAGTCTTCTGATGAAAAAACCTATAACAATTTGGCTTTCCATTTTGGAGCAGTAATGACAACAAGATATTCAAGTTTGCAGCTGTTGTTTCCATATTGAATGTGCAATTAGCACGCTTTCATTTAGGACCAACTACACATCAGAAGTCTTTTAGCAAACACCCTATGCAGATCGGACTATCCATTCTGGAATAGCAATATCAAGATTTTGTAACTGACCACACACTTTGAAACTAGATCATAAACTACTCATTTTACTGTGCAAATAATACTAAAGCTAAAGTTATTTTAACAAAAGACACTTTCATTTAAAACCAGAAAATATTTCTAATAAAAAGGGTGCAACAAGTAAGAAAATGATACAATCTTGTTACCACAAAAGTTAAAAAAATTTTCATCCTGGTAATTTGAAACAAAAGTTCTGTGCAAGACAACTTCCAAGGCAGACAAAGATTTATAGGCTGATCTGCATGAATCTGAACAAAGAAGGTCAAGAGAAATTCAATGTTGTTCAATTTTATATAAAAACTCTAGCTTTCAGTTGTGTTAGATCATATAGAGATTCATGGGAAAATGTAAAGCAAAATCCTGAGTCCATCATTCTACTAATTAGTGACATTGTATTTGTACAATTAATCTCACAGGATAAATTAGCTCATTTCTTGTTACTATAGATAAAAGATTAAACAATCCTTTGAAAGTTACACTGTGGAAACCACACGGCTGAAGTCAGGCAATCAGGGGCAATAATTTCTCAAAACGATGACTGAAAAAGCTGTAAATCAAATTAATTAGGGGTTTGATCTATATAACACTGTATGTTAAATCGAACAAGTTTAAAGGAATTTATTCCAGAAACCAATGTCAGGAGGATTGATGATATGGGGCCAAAACTCCTATAAATGGCAGAAATTATTTTTATTCAAGATTTTATCACCACTGCGATTGAGAATTAGGCTGAAAATTGATGATCCTTACTACAGTTACACTGTGGAAACAAAAGTATATCATGTCTAGATCAACTGCACATGTTAATGTTAGGATGACAAAAAATCAGGCATCTTAACTCCTCCAGATGATGATACACAGGTCTGAAAATAAAATGTTTCTTGAGATCTTAAATATAAAGCTGCATGCCAAATTTAGTTATGATCTAACTATTCCCAGTAACGTTATCTTCTTGAAAACAAACTGCTCATGGCCAGACTGTCATGGTCTTTCAAAACAGATGAACTTCCTGAATAGTGGTCTTTCATAACAGATGAACTTCCTAAACAGTAGTCTTTCATAACAGATGAACTTCCTGAACAGTGGTCTTTCATAACAGATGAACTTCCAAAACAGTGGTCTTTCATGGCAGGTTTTGCTGTACAACAAACTTGTTATGTACCAGTGTAAGCTGTAATAAATAAATCACCCCTGTATAGATCAATATATAATTTTTTATTATCAACTACATCTACAATTTAAGTAAATTACTGCAGCAATTAAATACAACACACTAATCTTACCTTCTGTAGGTTGATATAACTGACATGAAGTTTCTTGATAATGCCTGTTTCAACAGTTGACTCGCCTGACTCAACCGCTTTTCCTTTGTTTTTGCGATGCTTACCAATAATAGGATCTTCATCTTCTTCAGCAAAAGTGGAGCCCTGTAAAAAAAATAACAAATTAATATTTTACTGGTGTGCCTGATGGTCGATTATGGTTTACTTCAGGTAAAACAGAAAAGATTTACCAAACGACATTTTGCTGGACAAGATCATCTATTGTAATATTCTGACAGATTTGTCAAAAATTAACAATTAACAGTTAACATTCCATCACATAAAAATTTCAACTCTGTGTACATATTATTAAACACTGGTACTGTTTATTAAACATTGGTACTGTTTAATTGGCAGGATAAAATCCTCCCAGTTGGACTGAAAGACCGACAAGGTGGCACTCCTTCCCTAACACGACACCTCTGTAAACTTTAAGAACAAGTTTTTTGTGTGAGATATCTGTTCAAACTCTCCAATATCTCACTATCTGCATATTATAATAACATATAAACAGAATGGCATTCCTATTAGATATGATCATTTGATGAAATACTTTTATATGTTTAGTTTCTAAGTGATATCTCACCTTAGCAATCTTGGACATCAGGATACTGTATCTCTGGTGATTGATTTTGTATTTGGTCATCACTCGATTAACCATCGGGATGAAAATCGTGTACTTCTGATTCAGCTGCATGACCAAGGCACACAAAGTGTCCATTGCTGTGTGCTGTAGTTCTGTGGTTGTGTCCAATACACGAACCAGTGGGTGGATGATGCGTGATGCAAAATCTGTAAAGTCTAGTGAATCAGTCAAGCGATCGATGGTTTCCAGGGCCACCCTGATATTAATAGAGAAAAGAAAATAATTTTGGCTGCCTAATATACAAATAAAAATTTATTTTAGGTACAACTTAATTTAAATAAAATTAAAATTTTATATTGGATTGGCTTCAATGATAGTCAAACTTCTCCCTTAAATCTGACCTTAACGCCTCTGACTTTAAACCATTTCATGCCTGAATTGGTCTTAGACCCTGAGCAAACCTGGAGGCATGTTTGGTGATGAACTACAAAAGCCAAATGAAGGATATGGCTTTTGAGGGATTCCTTTAAAAGCGTTTGATGCAGATAGAAATGGGATGAGACAAACTTTGCTTCATGACAAATTATATTGACTTTCAATTAGGAGACAAGTCTTTTATTTGAGAACAGACAAAAATTCTGTATGGTTTTACCATTATGAAACAAGTTTAACCAGTGATATGTCAGGGGAAGCATCACGA